GTGCACCTTGTAATTAACGATTTCTTATATAGCCTTTGCTAGTGGGATGTGAAACTAGTATACCGTTACTGATATCCCTCGAGTAGGGATCTACATATATGAATATTTAACTACTTTACGATGAGTTCCCTGTTAACGGTTACTCCTCAAAGAAAAGGCCAATCTTACTAGATCATTCATCCTTCGAAATTTCTCAGATATAAGATTTGATATTAAAGTGTTTTTCTAAGTTTACAACTATAAGATTTGATATGGAAAGGTTTCTGTAAGTTCACTATTAAGTATTTATATTTATTTTTAATATATAAAGCACAAAAGATTGAAAATTGCTATGATTTATGAAAGAAGATTATTACATCGTTATGATTATTGAACTAGCATGTTTTATGACTTGTGCCTCGTTTAAATTGTTCTGGTTAAGTATTATTACTCACTTATATAGCGTCTCACTCCTGGCTATATTTTTTTTACAGAGAATAAAAGGGACTTTTGTAAGGTCTAGAGCTTTCGAGTTGATAATTTCTAGTGAGCCCCCATACTTGTTCGCGTGGACAACAAGCTTATTAGTTGTTATAGATATTTTTTGCTATTCTTAGAGTCACTCCATAGTAATTTTTTTTATTAGAAGTTATGAGTAGCCTTTCGTATTGCAAACATGTGTCTAGTAAGAGAGTTATGTTTTGGAGTTGGAATCAGTAATTTACTCTTTAAATAATTTATTGATGAATAAGGTGGGAAAAATATGAGATTGGCTGGCTGCGTTATTGATATCTGATATAGGAAATTTCAAGATGGGCCAAAAAACATAGGAAACTCTATCGGATTTTTTGTAGATTTCTAGTTAAGGGTTTCTTTGGAACCCTTCTCCTTAGTGCCGGTCATAATTCTAAATTAGGTCATGACAAAGTTGGTATTAGATCCCTATGATATTCTTGTGATTTGTAGATCACACATTAGTAGTAGAATCTCAATTATGGTTATGTTGCCATCCATTTCTATAATTGTCATTCTGCGAGTACGTGATAGGATGTGTCTTGTCTCTTTTTTCTTACACTTCTGCATGTGTGCACCAATTAGGATTGTCTTAGTTGTATCTAAGATATTTATCTTATTACCATTTGATTTAGACTTGATATTGCGGAATGAGGAATATACTAGACAGGATACATAAAATGCGCATTTTCCATGTAATAGTCTCTCCCAATTTATGACAAATAACAAGTAACAAGCATGTTCATGGAAGGTTCCCTTATAAGGTAGTTAAAATCATTACAAGGGTGGAAATAATACTGGTACAACAGACAAGGGTGTTATTGTTGCGATGTTTATCACTATGCAGAGTGTCATAGCTAGTTTAATTGACATGTTGGATAAAACCAGACAACAGAAAGGCCCATGACTAACCGGGGGGCATCCTACATGCTTAGCAGGTCTAAATAGATTGAGATGTTACGATATTTATGGAACCTCACAACTCTAGATATATAAGGCACCTCGAATCCACTAAGATAAATCGTGTAATGGTTGAATTATATTGAAAGGAATAGATTAAGAAAGATAGTGTTGTCTCTATTTGAAGTTGTTGGACTTCATCAGTTAGCCAAGGCTGCTCCATCGATTTTTATCTAACTGGCGCCACCATACATCCAAATTGGAAATTGTAAAAGAGTTACTATGAAATTTATCACCTTTGTTAACCATATCTTAGAAAAGATTACTGATCAAGTCATCTCTTGAATTTTTTTTCAAGAAACCTTGAACATATGATTAAATCTTATTGTACTATATTTCATTTGCAGTGAACATTTAGTGCGAGTGTACTTTACTAACTTTAGAGTATATGTTAAAAGTTTGCACTCCTGATTTTGGGGTATTTAGGATGCTTACCTATCTCTAACTGAGTTTTGCTAAAACATATATTCTCGATCAAGATTTCACATGGCTTCATATGAAGTCTTGTATTGTAGGCGAGGTCACTCACCTAAAGGATGGTTTAATGTTGGAGAGGCTAAATTTCTTAGATCAAACTTGTGATAAGAAAATATTAACAAGTCCATTTAATGAGAGATATTTTGAGTGAATTTACTCAAAAACTCAAAGAAGTCGAGTCTTATGCAGATAAGAGGAGAAAAGATTTAGAGTACCCAGTCAAATTCCTAAGAGTCCCTTTACTAAAAGGTGAGATGCAAAAAAGGTATATTGAGCTTGAGATATGTAAGGTCATATCTGATCCTAGACCAGGTGATAGTAGTGTTATATAGTTTGAAACTTTCTTTGAAATATATTTTACTCGCTCAAGATTCTATGTCTGCAAAGAAAGTATCCCATACTCCTTTCACGTACTTGATACACTAACCTTACTAATTGATGAGAACTTAACATATGAAGAGGAACCTATGGCTATAGTTTCCAAACAAGTAAGAAAGTTATGGTCAAGAGAAATTATGTTCTTGAAAGTGTTACGGTGACATCATACTATTGAAGAAGCTACTTGAGAGTTGAAAACTAATATGCAAGTCAAGTATCCTCTCCTGTTTCATCCTACAAGTACATACTTACTTTAAAATTCATGGACTGAATTTCTAACGGTGTAGAGAATGTAATACCCCATAATTTTAGATATGGTTGAATAAGTCTTTAGTTTTAAAAAAAGGATATTAGTCTAAAAGCCCTAGGAAGCCACACTGCAATTTTCAGCAGAGAGAAACGAAAAAGAAAAAAAGTTTCATCCAACGTTCATCACTGTCATCGGTTCTCACTTGTCAGTTATTTGTGTGAGTGTATATGCAAGAACAAGCCATCATCCTCATGTTTCATAGCCATGGAGAATTTCTTTGCACCAAGGTAATTTTAATAGATTTGGAAGAGAGAAGGAGCGAAGAAGAGAATGAGTAAGCGCTGATTCTTAACTAACAAGAGAAGCAAAAGATGAAGGTAAGTTTCTAAACTTATTTACATATTTGATCTGAATTTTCCATAGAAATAGAACTGGAGTTGGGAGTTTCAGAAATCACGAGTTAAAAGAAATAGTGAGAATTGTCAGATTTTCATGATTTGAAGGAGTGCACTAATGATTTGAACTATAAACCTTGTTATTCGGCAAATATGAAGTAAAGTTGATGAGCAGCAAGGTTGTGTTGCTTTACTAATATATGAAGTTAATGAATGGGAGGTTTTTTTACGTCACTAATGGCCCATTTAAGTGATTGGATAGATTTTGTGTCATTCATGAAACTTCTAGGGCTGGGGTTTTTAATTATTGTTAAATAGCATGGTATATTTTTATGACACTCGGGTTTTGACCTTACCTTAAGGTAATGAATGTCTTTCTGATATATTTTTATGCTTCCCGTGTGGGCTTGGGATGTTTCCTGATGCAGAATGGAAAAATAATAGCCTATGCCTCTAGGCCACTCAAAGTTCATCATAAGATATCAAACTCATGACCTTGATTTAGCGGCTGTAGTTTTTTCCTTGTAGATCTGGAGACATTACTAGTATGGTGTGCATGTTGATGTGTTCATTGACCATAAAAGTCTTCAATATGTGTTTATACCAAAGGATTCAAATTTTCGACAGAGAATATTGTTAGAACTTTGGAAGGATTACGATGTGAGTGTCCTCTAATACGCCAACAAGGAAAATAAAGGTGTGGATTCTTTAAGTCGTATGACTATGGGTAGTGTGTTTCATCTTGAATAAGAGAAGAAAGAACTAGTGAAAGATGTTCATAGGTTTGCCCATTTGGGTGTACGGATAGAAGATTTTCCAAGTGGTGGTCTCATGTCCATCATAACTTTGAGTCATCATTAGTGGTGGAGGTTAAATCTAAGAAACATATTTATCCTCGATTGAAGGAGTTGAAGGAATCGGTACTTGGTAAGCTTAATAAGTCATTCTTACAAGGGGAGATGGTGTTCTTAGGTACCAATGGAGATTATGCGTATCTGATGTTGAGGATTTGATAAATTTAAATCTAATAGAATTCGATGGTTCCCCTTATTCTATACATCCCTGTGTCAACAAAATGTATCATGACCTTTGGTAGGTTTATTGGAGGGACAATTTTAAAAGGTATATTGCGGAGTTTGTTGCAAAGTGTTAATATTTCCAACAAGTTAAATGTGAGCATCTATAATCAGGTAGTTTAACCCAAATCATGAATTTTCCTACTTGGAACTGGAATGTTTCAATATGGGTTATGGTGGATAGGCTGACCAAGTCTCCCCACTTAATCCTTTTATATGTAAAACTGAAGAGTGTGCAAGGACTACATTTATGAGATTGTGAGTCTTCATGGGATTCCCTTGTCCTTCATTTCGGGTAGAGATGACCAATGTATTTCTATTTTTTTGAAAGCATTTCAAAAGAGATTACGTATTCAAGTGAAACTTTGCACAACTTTTTATCCTCATATTGATGAGCAGCAAAATGTACAATACACACCCTAGAAGATATGGTAAGAGCCTAAGGTATTTATTTTAAGGGAGATGGGATGATCACTTACAACTAATTTAGTTCTCCTACAACTATAGTTACAATTCGAGAGTCTACATGGACCCTTTTGAAGATCTTTATTGTAGAATATGTACGTCTCAATTTTGATGGTTTGAGGTCGGTGAGTCCTCACTCCTTGGTCCTGAGATTATCTATGAGGCTATAGAGAAAGTTCATGCGATAAGAGATAGTTCGAAGACAAACCTCTAAAATTAATTAGGAGAAAATAGAGCCTAAAATGTTTTTTCATAATGTATAATGTACTAAAATGGTTAATAACTTGGTAATGAGGCAGTTTCAAAATATTTAAGTTAATTGGAATTTAAATGTCAATAGACGACCATGACGTTCAACGACTCAATCATCTATATGCCTTATGTGTTTTTATGTGATTATGCGTGTATCAAGATTTTATATGGTCCTTATATGAGTAATAATAGGATTAATAGGAAGTGTTTCATGTTTCATGATGTTTGGAGGTCAAACGTCAAAGAACATATATGACCGTCGAAATGTTTACCTTGAAACGACCTTGTGTGTCTTAGTATGTTTAATTGTGTTTTTTGAGTCCATTTTAAATGATATTTATGCGATAGGTACTAAAATTATATAAGACCATATTCAGGCTGTAAAAATGCGATAAAACATCCCCGAGGAACAACAAAGAGTCCTTGATGAAGGAACCTTCTCAAGAGCATAAGGCTGTCTAGACAAACCCCAAAAGATGGAGGCAATCGAAAGCCAGTTTGATGGTCGAATGCATGTTAATGGTGGTCATGGTTCAATACTTTTCCTAAGGATTATATTCTCCAAAAATTCAGCCTCTTTCCCAATCGACATGGATCCTGGACAGTCCGTTTGTGAACTTACGCCCCGTTGATGGGCAGTCATATGTTGGGTCTCTAACCTGCGCATCTTACTGTTAAATGTATGAGGTGAAGTGGAAATTTCATGCCACGTTCAAATAAATGTTTGAGCGGTTTCCTAAGGGAATTCTAGGTAAGTTAACTAGGTTTATATCTCTTAACTACCTAGATTAATTTATTATTCTAAAATCAAAACCATAGCCTCTAAACAACTCTCTAGAACTCCATTGAAGCTTGAAAATTGATTTCTCCACCAATATCACTCATTTTTCGTTGATTAGAATTTATAACGGTATATTTTTTCATCCTTGAAAATTCTATCATATTACATCCAATCTTTAAAGAAATTTCAAAGACTTTATCAAAAGATAGATTTGTAACTTGTGATCTAGCCATGTGTTCCTGCATAAAATGCTTTGAATCATTTAATATTTATTGAAATGATGTTAATTTGATTATTTTCACCTAAAATATTCATCAACCCATGAAAAACCTAAACTCTCCAAATTATCTATGTTGTAGGTGTTATGATCAAGTCTTAATGCTTATGAATTCTACTGTAGTTTTCCTTAGGCTATTGAATGATGAAAGAACTGTATTAGATTGATGTATTGTTGTCTTAGATTGGTAAATATATATTGAATTGATTTAGATTCATTGAGTATTATAATTTTTTGTATTGAATTGATGATCATGACCATTGGTAAGGGCCTTTAGGTTTTATATTGGATTATTCAGTGATTGATTGAAGTTGTGGGAATGGATGGGACGTATGCTTACATTATTCTCTTTGTAATATGTAAATTAGGTCTTTAATTATTTTATTATTGGTATGCTCTACTAGTGGTGGCATTGCTATATCTTTTACTTGTGAATTTTGTGACCTCGTCGGTGTTATATTATGTATTATAATGATCATGGACTTTATGTGTAGTTATTTATGTAAAGTAAGATCATATATATCTACTTGTGAGTAATGATAAAGTATGTGTTTTTCTATTGACATTAGTTCATAATGCTAAACTATGTCTATGTCCTTCTGTGTGTAGTCTTAAAGTGGATGTGTGATTCTTCCTAATTGACTTTATGATTCCTGTGATGGTAATGTTCATGATCCTATAGTATTATATAGGGTGATATAAAGTTGTCTTGGTTTTTCTTATGTTCTACCTAAAAGTTGTGCTATATGTTGTATGTGAAATATTGTGTCTTGTTTTTGTAAACTTGTGTCCCTTACCTGATACATGTATAATGACATTATGACTTCTTTACTTACGATGCAACAGATTCTTAGTCTTATTTGTATGAATTACTTGTGAACTTGAATGTTGCTAATAAGATCCTTCATGTGGAGCCTTCAACCTAGTTGTAAGGTTATGATATCCTTTAAATCCAAGAGCATAATTATATACTTGTTGTGCCAATGGTGGACTTAGAGATTAATTAGATGGAACAACATGAAATTGTCCTTAGGAAAATCATTTATAAATAAACTTAACAATTGTAAGATAACCCTATAGGACTTCTTTAATATGGTCTAATGTGATTTGGTTGTAAACTACATACCGAACCTCTTCATGTACTCCTTTATTGAAATACTTTATGAGAACAAAGGCTAACACTACTCGAGTATTCTCTCGGTAGTAACTCTAGTTAAGTATAATGCTACATTACAAAACAACCTTTCATATTCCTTAGCCATTTACCTATATGGGATATGTCTATGTTCTACCACTAGCAAGTAGAACACCCTCTATCGGACAAGGTTACAACTCAGGATTCCATGCCTTGATACAATCGTCTATGTTGGTTATTGCCTATTATAATCATTTAGGATACTGACTAATGTTTGAGAAGTTCTATGAAGGTGTGATAGTTTTATGGGACAATATCTAGACATTGTACGATTAGGCTTTGAAGATGTTAGTGTGTCAGTCCCTAGGTCATGTCTTGGATAATTACTTGAATTTCCTTATGTAATGAATGACTCTTAAATGAACTAATAATGATAATGACTTGTGTTGGACTGCAGGTAAATTAATAACTATTTACCTAGTGTAGTTAAGGGTTGTCTAGTTAAGGTGTGAAGGGGGCACATGAATGGTCACCTCATGTATTACCTAGGTAAGTGATAACAATTAATCTAGATAGGAAAGTTTGTTGATACATTAGACATGATATAAACTTAGGTAGTCTTAAGGATTATTTAGGTAATCTTTGAGAGGATATATGATCATATCTTCTTTATTTACTTAATAATGTTTTTTGATAACCGTTGTGAGAATAATATAATATTATATGTAAGTTATGTTATGAAATGAGAATGATCTTATCCTGGGTAATCGGAAGGATATCTTAGGTTCGTGTAAAGGGATTACATGGGCAGTCGCTTCACAACTCACTCAAGGGAAATTTAGAGTCACCTTTGGTAGGAGGATCTCATAGTTATGCTTATGGTGTATTGTATTTGTGTCTCTGAATATCATTTAGTGAGAGGGTTGTATGCTTTATAGGTTCAAATAATTAGTCACGGTAAATTGGCAAGGTTTACTATAATATTTTTTAAAATGTTTTAAAATGCTTATGTGATATGTTATCTTTTTATATGGTGTTAAATGTTGTTTTTATTCTTATAGTATGATGTTTAAACAAAAAAAACATATTTCCATTACATGCTAATTTTTATGATTTTGTGCATTAAGTCATTCTTAGTACAAGTGTTTGTACTAATTCCATACGTTTCTTATATCAAAAGGTTTAGGTGGAAGGTGAGAAGGTGTCTTGAAGGAAAGCGTGGATTCTAGTTATCGTTCTAGAAAAGTTTGAAATACGTCCTCATTTTACTCGAGACATTAGATTTCTTTCGATTCTTGTTTCGAAAGATTGTAATAGACTTATCAGAACTATATTTTGATGTATGGACCGCGGCCCAAGTATTATTGTGTCTAAGGATTGATGATATGAGACCTAGTATATCCTATGTTTTTTTATGAAACATTGTTCTAATGTTTTTAAAAGTTCAAATTATGCACTACTTTTCATATAGGTATAAGCGATAAATGATACAAATGGTCTTGTACAACACCCCCGAGAGGTCAAGTACCTCGTGCCATGACCTAAAAATGCCCTATCTCCTAAGATATTCATGAGGGTCCTGAAAAATGTGTTATCAGAGCATATGTTATTAAAGTTTTTTGAGGAATACAAAAGTCTCATAAAGTCACGTCTAGTAGAGTCATGACCATGGGTGTGAGTCGCGACACATCTATGGGCGAGAGGATATAGGACGATAGAGTTTAACTTTCTTCATTATTCTTGTGTCGTGCGTATAGTTTTGAGGTGGTAAGTGACTATTCGTAAATTCTTCTCTTGTGTTTATAAGATATGAATACTAGAAGGATGACCTCTAGAAAGTTTAAAGAAGGAGGAATGGATGAGGAAGTTCCTCCTCAAGTTGAGCAAATTGATAAATATGTTTATTCTCTCTATATTATGTAATTAAGGCCATGAATTATGTTGTGATTGGTATGTTCCAATTAAGGTAGCGGTGCTATGTGTTTTACTTTTGAGTTATGTTGCCCCGTCAGCATTAAATTTATATCTAATGATGATTTCTGTAGTGATTTATGAGGAGTAAGATCATACCTATCTACTTGTGAGTAATGTAAAAGTATGTGTTCTTCTATTGACATTAGGTGATAATGTTAGATTATTACTATGTCCTTATTTGTGTAGTCTTAGAGTGGATGTGTTATTCTTCCTAATTGACTATATGAGTCTTGTGATGGTTATGTCGATTATCCTATATAAGTGTATAGAGTGACCTAAAGTTGACATGGTTTTTATTATGTGCTACTTCAAATATATATTATATGCTCTATGTGAATTATATTGTCTCTTATTTTAGCAGACTACTGGTGTCCCATACTTGATATATGTCTAATGAGAATATGTCTTTTGACTTAGGATGCTAAAGCCTCTTATTATTGAATGTCTTAATGACATGTTAGCTTGAATGATTATAAGAAGATAAGTATGTAAAGCCTTCAATCTAGTTGTAAGGTTATGATATCCTTAAAGTTGAGAGACGTAATGGTATCCTTCTTATGTTAATCGTGGACTTAGGGATTGATAGTCTGGAATGACATGAAATATTCCTTAGGAAAATCATAAGCTATTATCTTAACCAATGTAAAGAAGACTAAGGGACCTTTTCGATAAGGAGTAATGCGATTGAGTTGTGAACTAGATATGGAACCTCTTCATTTACTCATTAATTGAAATATTTTATGAGAAGAAAGGCTACAATCGAGTGAGTATGATTTGGGAAGTAGCTCTAGTTAAGGGTGAGAATAGAATAAAAATAAACCAATCATATTCCTTATCCATAGGCCTACATGGGATGTGTCCAAGTACTACCAGTGGGAAGTATAACACCCTCCATCGGAGTAGGTTACAACTCTGGATTCTATGACGAGTTACCATGGTTTATGTCGGCTATTGTCTATTCTCGTCATATGAGATACTCCCTAGTGTTGAATAAGTTCTATGATGTTTTGGCGGCATTATGGGACGCTATCAAGACATTGCACGATTAGGATTTTACAATGTAAGTGAGTCAGTTCTTAGGTCTTCTTCGATATAATTATTTGAATGTCCTTATGTGATGAATGTCTATTTAATTAACTACTAAAAATAATTACTTATGTTGGAAATCATGTAAATGAGTAAGTACTTACATAGAGTAGTTAAATGTAGTGTTGTTATGGTGTGAAGGGGACATATGAATGGTATTTTGATAACCTTGGTGAGGAGAGTGTCATATTATATTTATGTTACGTTATGAAATGAGAATGATTTTATCCCAAGTAAATTTAAGGATCTCTTAGTTGTGTAAAGGGATTGTATGGACGGTCACTTTGTAACGCAATCAAGAGAACGTTAGAATCACCTTTGTTAGGAGGAACTCATGTTTGTGTGTACGGTGTATTGTTAGTTAGTGTTAGGACAGCCTTTAGTGAGAGGGTTGTATGCTAAATGGGTTAATTACAATGTTGAATTAGTTTAAAGTATATTGGCAAGGCTTACTGTAATATTTTTTAAAATGTGGTAAAATGCTTATATTATCTTATCTATTTTAGGTGTTAAATGTGGTTCTTATGATTATACTATGACGTTTAAACCAAAAAGAGCATATTTCCATTAAATGTTCATTTTCATGATTTTGTGCATTAATGCATACATAGTACAAGTATTTGTACTAATCCCATACATTTTTGTAATGTCTAAAGGAGTAGGTGGACGGTGATAAGGTGTATAGAAGGAAAGATGGGATTCTATGAATCATTCCAACAAAGTTTACATTATGTCCTCATTTTACTAGAGGGAATATATTTCTTTCGATTTCTTATTTTGAAGCATTGTAATAGACTTAGTAGTACTATATTTTTATGTATGGGTCGTGTCCCAAGTATTCTTGTCTCTAAGATTGAATAATATGAGACTTAACATTTCCGGTGTTTTTTCTATGAAATATCTTTTTAAAGACTATTCAAATGTTGTAAAAAAAATTAATTCCATATATATATATATATATATGTATATATATATATATAGATGCGATAAATGATAGGAAATTTCTTGTGCAAGACCTCCGAGAGGTCAAGTACGTCGTGCCATGACCTAAGAATACCCTAACTCCGAAGGTATACAAGCGGGTCATGAAAAACATGGTATCAAAGCATAGGTTATGAAAGTTGTCCGAGGAATCAAAAAGTCTCATTAAGTAACTTCTTGAAGCGTCTTGACCATCGGTGTGATTCGCAAAACATCTATGAGAGAGAGGCTCCAGTCCCGAATGGAGGTTAAAATAATAAGATTCCGGTGGTTGCCTCTGAAATGACTAATGGGGAGATTAGAGAGGCTTTACTTACGTTATCCTATGCATTGACTAACCATGTGAACAGGGGTATTTGACCTAGAGAGAATGTTATGGAGAGTACTATGGTATCTTGATTCAGAGATTTTGTTAGGACGAATTGTATTATCTTTATTTTCTCTATGGTGGGAGAGGATCCCCATGAGTGTATAGATTGTGCTTACAAGATTTTGAGTATCATACGAGTGAATTGTAAGGAGAAGGTGGAGTTGTCTTCGTACCAATTGAGGGAGGTAGATCAAGTGTGGTATACACAATGGAAATATAATAGGCCAGTTGAGGTTGTCCTCTAGAGTGAAAGGAGTTTGAGGAGGTTTTCATACGAAAGTACTTTCGCCATTAGAGGAGGGAAGTGAAGGTTGATGAGTTCATTAATCTCAACAAAGACAATATGGGTGTTGACGAGTATTCCTTGAAGTTCAGTATGTTGTCTAGGTACATCACGACCCGGATTCTAGAATCCGATCGCAACTGGCATCGTTGATATCTCAGAGGTCGCATACAAGCCTCATCTTGCATTCATCACATTCATATGGTTAATTTTAGGGTAAACTAAAATTTTAAACGCATGAACCATACATAGATTTCATATAGTTATTTCATGAATTCATAATATAGTAAACTCAACATAAATGTAACAACAAGATATCAGAAAAATAAATTTGAGATAGAATAACAAGACATCATAAAAAATGCTCGGGACACCATACACTAGCTTTTTCTAAAACTAAGGCTATACTAAAATTGTAGCATCCTCGAAATAAAGAAGACCTACGAATTGGTCTGGAGCAAGGATGATGTCCAAACCATTGAAAGGGTCCTCAATCTGACCCTTAACCTACATCAATAAAATAGTAAATAGTCGGGGTTAGTACACCACTTCTACTAAGTATGGGTGTATAAAAAAATACACATAAGGCTAGGCATGACCGAACAAACGTCTTTCTAAAAAACATGTTATTTCTAGAAACCCTAGTTACTAGACTTTTCTATATGTGAATTGTGTATGAATAGTGTGTATTTTAATGCATTTAAAGCACACAACTCATTTTCTATATGATAACAAAACATTAGTATCATCAACATAATTTCAGAACAACTCGAGTGAAGATTTGGAAATTTTATAGTCCTAACCCGAGAGCCCTATTTTTGACACAAATTATTTCTTATTCTATTTTTTCTTCTTGTTATGAAGTTCAATGATCTCTTTCATCTTATGTTTCACATGCAAGTCAATGGGTCATTGTAGTCTCATACCTACAATGAATCGAGTAAGCAGTTCAAAAGATGAAGGAGATGATCTGGCTTCTCTACTTCAGATTCTTTATTATGATTTCCTTTGGGTATAATTATATATATATATATATATATATATATATTTGTCAATATTTATTTGCCATGCTCAATTTTTTGCTATCTTACATCCAATATACATAGTTCATTCTTAAATTGGGTATGAATGTATTTATAAGACAATATTTATAGGCTATGCCCATTTATTTGTAATTAACATTGGTTATATACCTTGAGGCATCTATTCATACACAAATATTGAAACAAGCCTTCGTTTATTTTTCAGTCTTTTTCTTTTACTTAGTGTGTAGTTTAATAATTCTTTTGATCCTAATTTTTTACTTACAATTGAAATGATTCATTGTAGTCTCTTACCCACAATAAATCATGTAAGTAATCCAAGGACTTCGGAATGATTTTCCTACCTTATAGTGAGTCATTCTTTACACCATATATTCATTACCTTTCACAAGAAATTCTATATTGATCATGGCATTTATTTAATTACTTTCATGTTTTATATATTATACATTTCATATACACGAGTTTTTGAAATCGTTGATGTAACATTAAGTAATATTAAGTGAGGGCCCGACATATGGGATATCAATCCGAGGGCCTTCTTTAAAAAACATAGAGTCTGCTTCATTCATTTATTCGTACTTCACAATATTTATTTCATTCATTCGTAGGATGTTAGAAACACCATCTATAAATAGAATGAAGTTTA